CATCTTTCGGAGCTGTTTCTTCTTGGAGAAGCCAAGGAAAACCACCCATTTAGGGGGGGTTCCCCCAGTTTGAGGCATGTTGAGACAAACCCATGTGGGTCCAAAGCGCAGCGCAGCCATTGCCACCACTGGGCGAGGAGTCGGGCCCAATAGCCACTTGCTCAGATGAGCCAACAACGGCATGGCCCGCGATCCTTTGGACACGCAGGGAGGGTTGGCTAGAGATCCTGGGAAGCTTGAGAATGAACCAGGAAGAGGTGCGTCCGCCTGTTTTGCTTCTTTACATGTTGGGTAGACTCTTTTGATGGAACCCTGGAACAGGGTCCACGTCTCATGCTGCGGCTATTGATGGGGTTGTGGGGGATAAATTTGGGTAGGTTAAATATGGGTAGGCGGCGTGAAATAGATATGGTCCCCTCTTGATTAGAATCCCTTAGATCAACGTTAGATACTCACTCAGTAATACCCAAAGTCAGCACGGTGCAAAGATCATACAAGACCGCCCTTTTTCCCTTTGGGTTGCTACAGTAACCCTTTGCGAAGTCTCAGGCAAAGTGGCGTGCTGCCGTAAGGATGGCAAGGCCCCTCACCCACCCACTTGATGGGGGCGACGTATTGAAACAGGAAATTTGAGTAGCTAGGCAGCTAGAGATGTTCAAGGAACAGACTACAGGGTATCGACTTTGTTCGCCTTGACGAAGGGTCAATCATAGGGTTCTTGCTGGCCTTGTCAGCCCGCAGTTAGTTTGAACAAATGCGCGCCTAGCTTTCCTTGGGGCAGATGGGCAGGTCCTGCTTTTCCTTCCTCCAAGATCCTGCTTTTCCTTCCCCCTTCCTGGTTTTGGCGTGCCTTGTTCTTCGACAATCATCCTTCCTTGACTCCAGGATGCACGCCAACTCAACCTACAGCTTTGGAGAAAACTAAGCCAGTCAGACCACCTGAAACCAGGCGCTAACACGCATATCCTGAGTCAATCACCCCCTTGGCTCAATGGAGGTATTGGACCGCCGTACTCAGCAGCCTCCTTTCCAGCTGACCCTCCCCATGAAGGACCAGGGAATGCGTTGCCAGCGAGCCTACCTAGAGGTGAAGTGAGCCCACCCATGACACAGGTCCTTTCCTGTGGCGGGGGATGGGGTTGTCCCCTGATTTCTGGCATGGGAATGCTCCCCTGAAGCTTAAAAAGCTTGCGGTACCCGGGAAAGACATCTACCGAAGGCATGCATAGGCATGGCCTTGGAGTCGAGAACGGATCAGTGAAAGGCCGAATTGCTCGGCTTGCTCGGCTTTCGGTCAGGCGCTCCTGCTACTAGATGATGGCTTTGTCGGTTGATGTTAGGTTGCGCAGAACTCTACGTTCGAAACTTTTTCAAGTTGTTCACTAGGAGGAGGATCTGTGGAGGCAAGCTGTCCGTTGCCGTTGATTTACCAGCCTTTGCATTCTCGCCTTTTTGCACAATGCCTTTGTAGCTTTGTTTGCGCTTCGGGGTTCCCGTGCATGCTTACTTCAAAACAGAGTGAAAAAGGGGGGGCTTACGTCGACAACGTTGGAGCCAAGCAACCTCCAATCACAAGGTTGGATGTGTGGGCATCCCACATCAATGCAGGAACCTGCGATTTCTCTTCCCGGGTCTCCGATCAACCTTTGCACCAGGGAAAACTCGGGCTGTTGCTTTTAGCTCACCTTGTGCCCCGTTGTCCTCGGAGCCTCGGTCAGGATCCCAACACTGGATTGCCTCTGCAAGGTGCGGAGATCTGCGCGAGGGATTTCAGACTCGATGGGTACATCTTGGCACCTGAAATGGAATTGCCAGCAGCTGACACATGGCTTCAAATCACCATGGACCATTGCGAATGCGCAATGCGTGCATATCGACCCAAACATGTCAGCATTGCTAGGTTCGTGCAAGAACGTGAATACTATATAGCATGGCTTTGTTGGATGGCAACCGTGACTTGACACGTCCGAGTTGTTGCATGTAAGATTGATGGCGGAATCTTGCGGATGAATCAACCAGGCGGATTTGTGGGTGTTTGTCCCAAAATCAAGGGATTCGGGGCATTTTCTCATCAATCAACAAAGGGTTCAGGAATGAGGGTCTCCCGTGAAAGGTAGCAGATGTGTTCCAAAAATGATGAGCGCACCACCTCTTGCGTGGACTGGAGGCACAGTCTCAGCAAGACTTATCAAGTTCCTTGCTCATTCCTTTCCCCGTTACCCAGTGGTACCCAGTGGTACCCTGTTTGCCATTTTGTTCGATGGGTTCCGCGATAAATCTGGTCAACTCCGAAAAGGGGAGCCGGTTGTGGCAGCTTCCGAAGGCGTTGGGCCTGAGCTGCTTAGGCACCCTTTGCTGCACCGGAGCTTGGCTCACGCCAAATTGTGTCGTGTTCCTGGGCCTGAGTGATAGAACGCCATATCAGCCATATCCCAGGGAAGTAGTATCAAATGGCGGTTATCCTCCAGTTCCCAGAGTAGTACTTTGGGAGAGGGGTTACTTTTGCTCCACTGGCTAGCTAAACACTCTGTGCGCGACACGGCTCATAACATGGGAAGGAGTGGGTGATTGATGGAAGAGGTTATGTCAATATGCAGGTCGCCGAAATGCGGAATTCATGAGGTCGAATGCATGTGAGGCTCTAGAAGTTGGTCGCCCAGAACTGACAACACGAAAGCAGCTTTGGGGATTCACACAAACACAGCAGCATTTAGATTTTTTGTGCTACGCATTGCTTGGCGGCAGAAGTTGCTTTTGCCTTGGCGCCTGTTCCAAACTGTGCAGCAGGTAGAGGGCTTTTCTGCACAAAGCAAAGCCCTTCAACCAACTAGGCAAAGGGCCCCTGGGCACAACTCCCAACCTGGATTGCGCACTCCGATCATTTGCTTAGCTGTCATGTGCTCAACTCCCAACCTGGTTGCGGAGACGCCACTGTTTTGCAGGCCTGCCAGCCTTGCCAGCCTTCAATGGAGGCGACTTTCGGGAGGAAGGGTAAGCTGATGCTAGTTGCTAGCTGAGCCTTCCCGATGCTTGGCTGTCAGAGGCGGTGCTCGTGTTTGTTCTCGCGAGTCCCTTTTCTCAGCGAAGTGAGGTGTATTGAACAATCACCCAAGAGTTTCTGCCAACTAGGTAGTGCGAAGCACGTCTGTTTCTGATTCAGGAAGCATCATCCACATTAGCATACATTTGCCATATGAGTCCACCCTCAAGCCAGCACAATCAAATTCGTAGTTCAGCCGTGGGAGCCCTTGGGCAAGCTCCTTCACATTTTTGTGGGGCGGGGTTGTAGGTGATTGCCCTGCCCAACTGGGCAGAACAAGAGACTGGTTGGGTGGCAGACCCTTTGGGTTGAAGCGTTGCTCTCAAACGCCAGGCATACAAGAAGGGGAAGCTGTGCTGTGTCAGATTCTGCTCAGCTGACCTGAGAAAGCAGGGATAGAGCAGCATGACTGTGCAACGGGCTTTCCAGTGGGTTTGAAACCGATGCTGCTTGAAAGTAGCAATCAATCAGATGCCAGGCCTGAAGTTAATTGGGGGTTCTAGTAGCGTCACTTGCTGATGTGGTCAATTGCGGCGAGGGGAAAACAGATAGTGCGCCTCTAAGCTGTCGCGTGGTAATTGCAGCTGGAAACATGGAAACGTCTGCGCGCTTGGCCAGGCTTTACGCAGCCCATGTTCCCTGGCATGGTGCCCGATGTCGGTCGGCCCAGGAATGCGACCCGCGCTCGCACATTGATACTATGTAAGCCCCAGCTTTAGGTGAGTGAAGGGAGATGGATTGCACTTTCTGGGGCATTTGTCGCGACTAGCGTAGTTGTCATAGCATGGCGGTCATGCTCCGCTGGCTCTGCTTCTTTGAGGTGCTTCGACTGATGTTTTGCGGCGCTAGGTTTGCAGAAATGGCTTCCTCGGCCAATTGTGTGCCTCCTGACTCCTGACCCTGCAGACTGCCTTGTCGTAATTATTTGAGATGCCCAAATGAGCGCATGCAAAAACATGACGCATGTGTCAATCAATCCTTGGTTTATTGAGTTCTGAAACCTAGTGCTGCTTCGAAATTACAAAGACTCGAAAGTTGAAACATCAGCCTTTCCAGGCCAATATGTTTGTATATCACGTTAGCGGACATGTGGCTGCAGGCTCCGCTTGCGGCAAGCAGATAGGCAGGTGTACCTTTGCTCGCAGGAAGACAGGCAAGGAGTCTGGATCGCAGGAATGCAGACTTCCCCCGGCATGCTGCCATTTTGGCAGCAACCCACAAGAACCGATGATGAATACACCCCTGCATGATTCATAGGCGAGTATCCCATTTAACAGCCTGTTGTTTTCAAACTCTTGGGGGACGCCGCCCCATTCCCAATTTTTCCACCAGGTCGATGAATTGTGGCTCGGTTTTCGCCCCAAAAAGAAAAGCCATACCCCTCTTTCCAATCATGTAAGAGGAAAAGTTTTGGAAGACTGTCCTCCTGAAAAGGCTACAAACTCTCCATTTGGATTGCTTTTCAATGGGGGCACCACTCCTTATTTTCAGGGAGAACAGAACATACAGGTCCGACTTGGCCAAGGCTGGAGCTGGCGATGCTCCCAAGCCTCCGGCCAAGCGAGTGGCCCGCCGCCCCAGAGAAGCCAAACGGAAGCCCAAGAAAGATGGACGACTTTTTTCCAGCCACCCTCGCTGACTCTGATTAAAAGAATCATGGAAGCCTTTTCAAGAGGTTGTCTTGGAACGCCCGGTCCACTTCCATCGTTGGGGAGAGGGTGGTTGGAACCCAGCTTAGCTTGGAGTCCAGATTCTCCTTGGCACGAGAGATATTAGTCTCTTTTGGCCTGGGCGAGTGTCTATGAGTCAAGGCAACATATAATATGCACATATATGTAGGTAGACTCAATTATAAGCATTATTTAAGATCTAAACACCTTCGGGATAACATCTCAGATTAATCAATTCCGTTCTGCTTCGGTGCATGCGGCTTACCCTTCAGTACATACGCACATGGCTTTTTTTCTGCTCACAGCAAACACATCCCACGGCATATGCGAGCTGAGCTCTGCGGAGCGTATGCCTCGGCTGGGCACCTACCTGCAATGCAGCGCCTACATCTTCCTGCTTAGCTTCAAGCCGTCGGAGCCTCACCTCTCTGCGTACTTGGAAGCGCCTTGGGTGATGTTTGTTTAGTGCGCTGCAAAGGTTCAAAAAGGAGCCAATCATTCAAACGGCGTATTATTCAAGAGGAATGGACTCGGACAATAGCCTGTGTGTGTATGTGTGCGTGTGTTTGTGTCAATGTGAGTGTGAGAGGCAATGTCTGTTTGTGTTTGGTTATGTGTTGGCGTGTCTGTATGTTTGTGTGGCTGTGTGATATGTGTGAATATGTGTGCGTCTTTCGTGCCTGTGTTTGTGTGTGTGTGTTACTTGCCGCTTCTGCACAGATGTTGTTCCGTACCATGCTTGACTTTGTGCGTGGTTGCGTGTGGTTGTGTCGCATGAGTCTAGTTGTGTTTGTGTGTGTGTGTGTGTGTGTTTGTGTTTGTGCGTTTGTATGCGTAGGTTTGTGCGTATGTGTCTGTGACACTGTGGCTGGTTAGGTGTGCCTCTGTGCGTCCTTCCATGTGTGTTGCGCATGTTTTGGAACAAGCAAACCAACGAACCAAGCCCAAACCAAACCAAACCAAACCAAGCAAACACTCAATCAACAAACACACAAAAGTAAAGCAACACCCAACAACACAACCAGCACAGACGAATACTCACCCCAACAAGCAAGGCTGGTTGTGTGTGTGTGTGCGTTTGTGTTGTTTGTTTGTCTGTTTGTCTGTCAATTTTGCTTGTTTGTTTGATTGTTTGTTTGCTGGTTTGTTTCGTTGGTCGTTTGGTTCTCAACTTATGTCTGTGTTTTTTCGTTCTTTATTTCATGTGTTTGCTTGATTGTTTGTGTGTTTTTTTGCTGGTTTGTTTCGTTGGTTGTTTGGTTCTCAACTTATTTCTGTGTTTTTTCGTTCTTTATTTCATTATGTGTTTGCTTGATTGTTTGTGTGTTTGTTTGTTTGCTCGCTTGCTTGTTTGTTTGTGTGTGTGTTTGTTGTGTTTGTTGTGTGTTTGGGTGTTTGTGTGTTTGGGTGTTTGGGTGTTTGTCTGTCTGTCTGTCTGTCTGTCTGTGTCTGTCTGTGTCTGTCTGTCTGTGTCTCTGTCTGTCTGTCTGTCTGTCTGTCTGTCTGTCTGTCTGTCTGTCTGTCTGTCTGTCTGTCTGTCTGTCTGTCTGTCTGTCTGTCTGTCTGTCTGTCTGTCTGTCTGTCTGTCTGTCTGTCTGTCTGTCTGTCTGTCTGTCTGTCTGTCTGTCTGTCTGTCTGTCTGTCTGTCTGTCTGTCTGTCTGTCTGTCTGTCTGTCTGTCTGTCTGTCTGTCTGTCTGTCTGTCTGTCTGTCTGTCTGTCTGTCTGTCTGTCTGTCTGTCTGTCTGTCTGTCTGTCTGTCTGTCTGTCTGTCTGTCTGTCTTCTCGTTTGTTTGTTTGTTTGTTTGCCTGTTTGCCTGTTTGCCTGTTTGCCTGCCTGTTTGCTTGTTTGTTTGGTTGGTTGGTTGCTTGCTTCTTTGTTTGTTTGTCTGTTTGTTTGTTCAGTTGTTGGTTTGTGTCCTTTTTCCTTTGTATGCGTGTGTGGTGCCATTTGCGTGCTTGTGTCTAAGCGTGTTTGGGTTGTTGTGCCTTTGCGCCCCTTGGGTTGTGAATTGTGTGCATGTGTGTTTGTTTGTCTGTCTCTCTCTGTCTGTTTGTCTGTCTGTGTGTCACTGTCTGTTTGTCTGTGTCTCTGTCTCCGGCTCTGTCTCTATCTCTATCTCGCTCTGTCTGTCTGTTTCCGTTTGTGTCTGTCTGTCTTTGTCTCTGTCTCTGTCTCTATCCGTGTCTGCTGTGTCTGTCTGTCTGTTTGTCTGTCTGTCTGGTCCTGTCTGTTCCTGTCTGTGTGACTGTCTCTCTCTCTCTCTCACAGCTGTCTGGCTGTCGGTCTGCACGCCTGTCCCTCCGTCTGTCCGACTGTCCTGTCCGTCCGTCCGTTTGTCCATCTGTCCGTCTGTGTTTGCGTGCGCGCATAACGTGTGTGTGTGTGTGGGTGTGTGTGTGTGTGTGACATTGTGGGTGTTCGCGTGTTTGTGTGTTTGTCATTGTGTTCGTGTTTGTGGTGCGTGTGCATGTGCATGGTGTTTTGCTGTATGTGTGTTTGTGTGTCTGGTTTCTATGTGTGTGTGCCTGTGTGATTGTGTGTGTATGTTTTTATATGTGTGCCCCTCCATTCTGCGTTGCGTATTTTTGGTCTACTTGCGGCTTTGCAGGTCGCAGGAGATTTGGTTAAATCTGATCCCCCATCAATTTATTGTGGTGACCTTGTCGGGTATTTATTTGACGTTTTGAGGCCTCCAATGAATCTATACGCCCCAAAATGGGGACCCCACAAATGGTGGGGTTCCTTTATGTTTCTTCTTGACACATCTTGACACCATCCGACACAAGTGTCAAGTCATGGAACAGACTGCATCCATTTCCATCTGTACATATTCTGGAAATGTACCTGGCCCAATTCGATGGCCTTTACTGGTAATGTAATGTAATGTCCGAGCACCACCCCTCAGCTGTGACAAGCACAATATGCGACCGTTGCAAGCCTTGATCCACCGTGACCAAGGAGGTCAAGCACTTGACCAAGCACCAGCGAGATGCGGAGGTATATACTGTCTTCACCTATGCTTCGCTCGTGGTCGTTAGCCTCGTGGATGCTTGGCAGAATTGGAGCTGTGGGGCATGCACAGATCTCATTTCAGAGACTCCAGGTTTGCGGATCTCCACGGTTAAATTATTGGCTTGCATGCGCCCTCTTAGCACAGCCAGATCGAAATGAACCAGCAGCTCAGACTGAGCAGGAGCAGGGCCAGAACGGAAGTAATCTATCAGCCTTTGGGGACAACTCTTATGAATGCGCATTGTAAGTCATACGCGGTCACACATCACACATATATGTGCGTTTGATTTGTGTTACCACCTGGCCTGCCCCGAAAGCCCCCTCACCAAACTACTCAACAACCATGTTGATCAGTTTTGCAATGGGGCATGGCAATGATCGAATCTTATACGGTACTAAGATGCAATTTGAAGATTTCTGATGTGCTGCCAGGGAATGGGCATTGCACGCCAGCATTTCGTATAGCGCTTTTGCAGCAAACAATAAGCGATGCCCGCCAAAATAGACGGGATCCTGTGACTTATAAAAATGACCCCCAGTTCCACTGTGCAAGCGCCAAACGGGGCAGGTCCTTGTGTCTTTTGGGGATGGCCCCAGGTTTTGGTCGGGACTGGAAGACCGGCTGAAGTGGTGAGTGGCTAAACTGGCCAAAACGGTCTTTAGTCAGTTGGCCGCCCTCGCAGCCCTACATTTGCCCCAGCTGAAGGCAGCTCTGAAGCTGCACACTTTGCACACGCCGATGAAAGGCATCAGCGATAAGGCGCGGACGCCGACTGAGGTGGGGGTTGTGCGGGTTGGACTTGTCCAGTTGGAAAGCCAGGAGTGCGGAGCCTTGGACGGTGAGTTTGCGTTCTGGAGCCGGGGACTGAAGTTTAGGTATGTTGCTGACAGAGGATATGCAGCACTTGAGGTCACATGAAGGTTCCTTGGCCTGGCCGCAAGTACCCGTACCCTACTTAGGTCGCCACGGACTGTGAACATGTAGAATTGCAAAGTTGCAAAGGCTGACAGCACTTGTTGCCAGCACCACCAGTTACCGTTTTACACGGAACGTGCACATTGTACAACACGGACGTTGTCTCCTTCTATGGCCTTTCTTTGGGCATCATGTAGCTGCCCTGTATTCTCGGGCAGTCTGGCCCTAGCATTTGGAACCAAAGAAATTGCCTTTTTGGCCACCCCGTGCGCACGGTGTTTCTGGTCGAACCCAGGAAATCTGACCTGCCCCGGACGCATGAAATTCATGGGACTGAGAGCGCTTTCGCAAGCATGTTGGCAATTGGCACCCCTTTCTGAAAGTGAAACCAGTGGGAGCACTTTGGCATTTTGGGTTTTTGTTTTGAGACAACCCTCATGGTTTGAGGTCCATGTTGTTTGAGATAGAGGTTCGGTCAGGCGCTGATCCTGTTCGGCTGCGCGGCCCGTTTAGCCACGCGACTCCTGCTGCTTTGGGGTGACTCGCTGCTTGCCATGCAGCTCATGCAGGCAGGGCCGAAGGGCTCGAGCCGCCGCTGGCCCAGAGGGTCCAGATGCACCATGCGGTTGAAACAAGCTGAAACCCACGCTGCAAAGTGGGGGACAGCAATTCGCCCCTGCTTACGTTTGTTTGTACCCGCTTTACTTGCAAGAGTCGCGCAATCCCTAGTTGATTCAATTAAAGCCCTGACATTCACGCATGCTTGAAGCATAGATGGCTTTTGGCTCCAGCTTGCTTCCGCTCATTACCAGCGGAATCCAACTATTTGTCCAACACGGCACCTAGTTTGAAGGGATTCGTTTGTTTGATCTTGTTTGATCTTGTTTGTTTTTTGTTGTGTGAAAAGGACATCTAGGTGGAAGGACACCTCGAGAGAAGGACATGTAAAAGAGCTTGCGGAAAGGACACTGAGGAAGACGGAGATCGGTTCGTTGGCAAAAGAGCACCCAGGTTGTGCGGAAAGAGCAGGTTGAAGGACACGCCCCGTTCGTTTGCGAGAAGGACACTTAGTTTGAAATAAATATACTGTAGTTGTTCTTTTTGCGAAAGCACACTTAGATTGAAGGACATGTCCCGTTCCCTTTGTTTCCAGGAGTCGACGCCTAGCTCCCCCCCCCCCCCGCCCCCCGGCCCGGGCCCGGACGTGGGGAGGTGGCCTACTCCGTGGGCCTGTTGGGGGAGATGGCCTTTTACGCGTACTGCCTGAAGGTGATCCCTGGGCATGGGCCCAAGTTGGTGGCAGTGGTGCAGGGCGCTTACTTGGCGTCTTGGATTTCGGCTTGACCATTTATTTGGGGGACACCACAATGGTGGTGTCTGTTTGTTCGCGGTTTCCCTGTAGAACACGCCAACAAAGACAAAGAGGTGTCACCAATAAAAGACACACCCAAATTGGGGTTGACTATTTTTTTGCATTTTTTGGCGTGTTGAAAAGGAATCGGAAAGGACACCCACCTATACAATGGGGCCCACATCCATTTCGGGCGCCTGAAAGTCCCTTTTTGTTTGATGGGTGTCCCAGTAAACGTTTCAATTTCTGAGTTTCAACGACCATTTCCGGGATAGGAAATTCAGGTATGCAGTCAAGTGGCAGCCAACCTCAATATGAGGGGAAAAACTGGCCACAGTTCCCTTATATGGCTCCTTGTGTTATATGCCTGCACATTACAACGGCTAGGTTAAACCAGAATGTCACAGAGTCAGAAGTTGTAACCAAGATGTAACCAAGCGTTGCCCATTCCTTGTTCTGGGTTGTTTTGCCATATTCTAGACTCTTCATCCTAGGCTCAAAGCTGCGCTTCTCTGTGACCCTGTCGTAACCCTTTAAAACCATGGCCACATAGCCGCGGGTGGTTCACTGAGTGGAGTCCGTTTTTATTGCTTTGTGTTCAGGTCCCGCGATCAGAACGGGTTCGGCTGGCTGCAAGTCAAGGTGTCGCACACCGCTACCGGCTTTTTGGGCGACTGGTTGCTGCGCTACACAGACATCGGCCTGATGGGGCTGATGCGCCCCGGAATCTTCATCCTGTGTCCACCCCCTTGGACTTGTTCACTTTAGATACCCCTCAGTCAAAAACAGGGAGCCTGGGCATTGGCTGATCCGGGGCCGGGGCGATCTCCAAAAGTGAGGTGCTCTCATTGGGGGCTGGAAATCCCAGAAAGCCCCTCTCGCCCATGGCTTGTGTCCATATTGCTTGCCAAGAACGGGGAGCTTCTTTGCCGAGAAGGCAACTGCTTCAGTTTGATTACTTCAAGCTTCCCTACCAGCAAAAAGCTCTGAGATAGACAGCAAACAACTCAGCTGTTCAGTGGCACCCTTGTTCCCTGTTTTGCTGGATGTTCCCCACCAAAATGGCCTTCGCCCACTTTTGGGTTACAAGTAGTCTTTTGCCTTTTGATCACTGGACTGGGCCTCAGGTGGATCTCTTTCTTCGCGGTTCTTGCGGCGTTCCTCATCGCCCTCTCCTTTCGCAGCCTGAAGGATATGGGTGGAAATTGGGTCTGTGGGCTGCAAGAACTGACGAAGCCTTAGGAAGGAGAAACACTCTTTGGTATTGCAGAAAGGCGTATTCCCGACAACCATGTGTCTGCTTGGTTTGGGGGGATCCAGTTGCTTGTTGGTTTCAATCATGAAGAAACGGAACGCCAACAATGCAACAACCACGTATTTGTTTGTTGTTTGGGTGAGCTTGTTTTTGTTGGTTTCAATCATGAAACGTAAGGAAACGCCAGCAATGCAACAACCACGTATTTGTTTGTTGTTTGGGTGAGCTTGTTTTTGTTGGTTTCAATCATGAAACGTAAGGAAACGCCAGCAATGCAACAACCACGTATTTGTTTGTTGTTTGGGTGAGCTTGTTTTTGTTGGTTTCAATCATGAAACGTAAGGAAACGCCAGCAATGCAACAACCACGTATTTGTTTGTTGTTTGGGTGAGCTTGTTTTTGTTGGTTTCAATCATGAAACGTAAGGAAACGCCAGCAATGCAACAAACATGTGATTTGTGTTTTGGGAAGTTCATGTTTATTTTCCTGTTTTCAAACGTGAAAGCTAACGAAGCACCACCGGCCATGTGTTTTTTTTGGGTTTGGGGGAGGCGTTTTTGGTCCCGAGGACGAGAGCGGGCCACTGGTCTTCTCGCGGAAGGCGCTGCTGAGGGCCGCCTATAGGAGCCGGAGCTTTTGGCTCAGCACGGCCTGGTGGACCTTGAGCTATCCTAGCTACATGACCATCTTCGGCGACCCGGGCGGCAGAAAAACCCTCCATGTGCTGAATTGGACATGTTCTTCTAGGGTCCCTTGTTGGTTTGATCCTCCTGGAATAGTTTGTTTTGTTGATCCTTGGTTGTTTTTGTTGATCCGTTTGAAAGGGGATCTATCACTGCTGGAAAGATGTGTTTTTTGGGGGTCCCGTGGGCTTAAGCAATCGGAAGCGGACCAAACGGCAGCTGTTTGGGAGTGTGTCCTTCTTCGAGTGCAACCCTTTCTGGATAATTTCGAGATGGGGACCAAAGGGCAATTTTGGGGGATTCCCTATTTTGAGACGGACCAAATGTTGAATCATCTTTAGCCTTTCAGCTTTGAGAGACTGTGTGTTTCCCCACTCACCAGCAAAACGTTAAACTACACTACAGTATAAACTCTTTGCCCAGGTGGCAAAAGCAACAGCAATGACCCTTTCTGGAATATCAAAGGTCGTGGTTTCTTCCGACTACAATGTTGATGCGGAGCTGCAGCGTGACACCCACACATAACTTCGGACCTGCATGTTTTCCTTGCACCACACGCAAGTCTGAGTGTTTGCCCTGTGGCAGACATACTTCCATAGTCAACGCAATCTGTGCACAGAAGCAGCTTGGCAACCCCCCCTTTCCGGGTTCTCATTCGTGGCTGCTCATCCCATAATTGTCCCAGTTCTTGAGTGGTACCCGTTTCCCGTGTTTTAGAGTGATGGTTTTCCCACTTACGTGGAACTTGTCAGAGGGTCCGTTTTGGAGGAAAGTGTTCTTTCCACCCTTCCCCCCCTTGTGTTGCTTTTGGTTACACATTGACCTATTCACACACTCCGCTGACATGTTTGGCTCAAGGCCCTTCAAGTCATTTGTGCAGTCATTCGACTCATGGTACAGTGATAAAAAGGCTTGCAGACCGCTTTACAGGATTCACAGTCAACACAAGCCACCAGGGACAATCCAGCCTCCAATCCCCCATATTGGCATATTGGACTCTCTCCGGAATAGATCCAGGGACCAAATCAACAACCTCTACTACCACAGGGTACCAGTTCCCTTCTGGGATAGGCACCCCGGCAGTGGGCCTCAATTTGTGGTAGCGGAGCCTGGTTTTCCGCAGAGATCCAAGGGAAGATGTCATCCGATGGAGAAGGCTTCATGGAAGCCTATTCAAGTATGGCCAAACCTTCAGGCTATACGGAGGAAACACTCAATTTATCGATGACCGCCAAGCAGCCGCCATCGTACAAGGGAAAAGTCAGCTGGTTTAGGTATGAAGAACTCGTGGACGACTGGGTGACAATCACTACGGTGGGAGCACCCAAGAGAGGACCTCTGCTCAAGAGCAGACTCACAGGAGATGCCTATATGTACAAGGCAGTCCTCCAAAATGACCTTTTGCAAGATCCTGATGAAGGAGTTAACTACTTCAAGAACACGCTGAAGAAGTACTTTTTGAAGGGTGCGACCAACGTGTATCTGTACAGGCTCCTCAGTTTCTTCAATCATAGAAGGCAGAACCAAGAGTTCCTCATTTTTACCTCAAAATTCGAAATCCTTCTTATGAGACTGAAGGCAGCATGGATGGACTTGATGCCAGTTTTCACGGCACAGTCCCCATCATTTCGACAGTCCGTGCAGGACGCAAATGCACGAACAATTGCTCGACATCAGCAAGCAGCTGGTACTCGAGTACCGCCTCCAGTCCTGCTCAATGAGGATGATCCAACAGTCCTCAGACAGTATATCACGGGAATGCAGGACAGACAGCGGGACGCATTTCCCTTCGGGGATAATCTCATTGCGCAGTTTTTCATTATACAAAGTGAATTGTCAGATCAGCAGAGAGAAAGACTGACAAGTGCAATGTGATTGAGAACATCTCACTACAGAACTACTCCTATGAGATGCTGAAGACGCACTACCATGAACTCTTCATCACGACCAGGACATCCATTCAAGATCCATCCATCCGACCTCCAGGAGGCAACCGAAGCAACACATTCTTCATCATCGAACAAGGTGAACACGAAGGAGAAGAAGGCTTTTGGGTTGAGGATGAAGAAGGGCTTGAAGGATTCATGTCAAACAACGATGAAGAGACATTCTGGGTCCTCGAGGAGAACGATGCGTTCATAGCAAGAAAAGTGTCAGGGCGGAATTTCAGATTCAAGAAGAGAAAAGGAAAAGGAAAATCAGGAAACAAAAAGGGCAGTCACCAACGAGGTGGCTTTAAACCCTTCAGAAAAAGCGGTTCTGGCGGGAAGGCCAATATGGCCAATGAGAACTATGATCCCTACGACCAGGCATATTGGGGGAAAGGCAAAGGAAAGAAGGGAAAGAAAGGAAAATCACAATTCCATTATCCCTATGATGGAAACAAGGGTTATCCACCCTATGAGAATGGCAAGGGAAAAGGCGGACATGACAAAGGAAAATCCAAGACGTTCGCAGCCATCGCAGAGAAGACGGAGGAGCAGCCCGCCATCCATCAGACGGCACCATCCACAGAGCCTACCTATGCCGGTTGGACAGACCAAGATTGGGATCAATCATGGACATGGAATGAACAAGGCTGGTACTCATCCCATGAGACATCCAGCACAGGACAAGCGCTAATGGCATTCCATGACGCATATGAGCATCATGAGAAAGAGGCCATCCACGGGAAGCTGATCCAATCAGATGCAGTTTCAGAACGCACTTTGTCCGTCAACAAAGCTGATGGCGCCTGTCATCAACCCTCAGCACAATCCGACCTATGCGATCCTGGACAACGGATGTACCAGATCCATGGGCAGCTGGCATGCAACCCAGCGTTTTACTCAGGCCATCGAACCCATGAAGGACATCATCTCCTATCAGCACATCCCGGCCGAGACCAAGTTCACTTTTGCAAACGGAGAGACCGCAAGGGTAAATTGGACCCTGCATCTTCGATATCACACAACTCCTCCACGCAGTACCAACATCGACGTCCTTGAACAAGGGACTGTACCGATCCTCCTCAGCATCAGTCAGATGCGGAACCTCTACCTGATCATCGAGCACACACCTCAATGTGACAAGATCACATGCAAGGCTTTTGGCATGAACCGTCAAGCAGTTCCGGTATCCGGTACAGGACATGCACTCGTCGATCTCGCTGGAGTTGCAAGAGTGAAGGCACATGGAGAAATTGCTCATAAGGGCCTCACCAACTACGTCTACGATGATGACAACAGCATCATGTTTCCCTCCGGGGGTATCTCCAAGAGTGAAACTGTTTGTGCAGCAAAATCATCCGAAACGAAGGAGGACCTAGCAACTCCTAAAGTCATTGGGTCTCAGAAGCAGGACCATGGGATCCTTGACAAGAAGAACAAGCAGCTCATCCGTGTGCACATCACGCCTCGAAAGGCACTGTTCACACCAAATGGAGCCAAGGAATGTCCAATCAATCCTGATAACATTAGCCGACTACGGAAATCATTGATGCATCCGAAGGTGGAGATCCAGACATCCTAGAAGACAATTGGAGACTTACATCCCAGGCAAGCAAACCAATGATTAACCTGTGGATAGGTAAGACCATTTTCACCTTCGCGGACAATTCGCTTAAGGACGAAGAAGCAAGCTCAGGATCGGCAGCAGACAGGATCATCGACAAGAAGGGCCGGTCGACCATTGAGCCAGATCCTGTCGCACCATCCTCAGAAGAACCAACGCTTCCGCTTGCATTAGGCAGAATCCACAAGCGATTGTCAAATCCCGAAGAGTTGAAGAAGCTCCACCTCCAGCATCATGACATGACAACAGATCAATTTCGATTTAGAACTCGCTCACTTCATTTGCCGAAATCAACATTCGATCTATTTGACAAAATCAGAAGTGAATGTGAAGTTTGCCAAGCGGCAAAACATGCACCATCACGAAGCAAGACGAGTGGACTTCGAGCGGACACCTGTGGTGACATGACATTCATTGATCACTGTCAAGTTCCTCTTGGAACAGGAGAACACATCATTGTTTTTGTCATCCTGGATGGAGCAACAACATTGCTCACTGCAGAGGCAGTGACAACTACGCAAGAAGTCGAGAACATCACTGTCCCCAGGAACTATTTTGACCAGTACCACTTGCAGCCCAATTCAGTTGTCGCAGATCAAGCCTTCATGACGGAGACAATCCCTTGGCATCACACCGATATCATTGGGACCGAATACACCATGGCCAAATCGAGCTGAAGCTGCAGTTCGACTCCTGAAGGCACAACTCAAGATCATGCTCAGTTCCATCAAGGCAGGCACAGCACCTGCCACACTGAAGAAAGACAGCTGGTGAAGGCAGCTGCAACTGTCAGGAATCAGACTGTCACCTACGGGGGTGTAACACCATTGGAGCTCGCATTCGGAAGACGACCAGCAGATCTCATCCAACTTGATGTCGCAACACCAACTCAGCTGACGATTGACAGGAATGAGGAGGAGATGACAGCCATCCAGATCAAGCAGCTGTCCAAGCAAGCATTCCAAGAAGCACGTCAATCCGAAGACATCCGACGAGACCTTGCTCAAAATCTCCGAATGAGTTCTAAGCCTCTTCAGGTGAAGGACAAGGTATTTTACTGGCAGGAAGACAAATCCAAGATCCGTTCCGATGGAAGCAAGGGAGGAATATGGCTAAAAGGAAAAGTCATTTCCATTGAAGGAGCAATGGTAGGACTTGATCTTGGGACCCGACTCATCAAGGTTAACATGACGAAGTCAGAAAGGATGAAACCATCGTTCCGGGGAAACCTGGAATTGATCTTCTATTGCCAGAAGAGCGAGAATCCTTGCAGAAGGAGCAACCCGGCTCCTCTGCCCACACCAAGAAGAAGGAGTCATCCACACCAGTTGCTAAGCCAAAATCCTCATTGCATTACGCATCGCGGGAAGACAACTCCCAAGCCTGCAGCAACTCATCCGGCAGAGAACATGTTCGTCGAGGACCTCACATCCGTTCCTGAACAAGTACACTGGAAT